GCCCAACTTTTATGAAAACCCTGATTTTTCCAGTACCATCTTTTAATGCTATTGTTGGTGGTCATCTTTGCTTTTCCTTAGATCAACTTTGAGGCAGAGCTTATCTCTCGGGTTTATTTATATTTTCCAAAAATCGAAGAGGGTGTTTGCTTTGAGACGTTGGCACCATATGACATCCCCCTGTAGCTGCTGTGTAACAAATGATAATGTTTAATGCTGGGACAGTGGGGACTGTCCCTCTGTGCTGGCAGCAGGACAAAGCAAGAGGGTGTTCCCCTTGGCCTCTCTGCTGAAGCACTAAATGGTATTTGCTCTGCATGGGGCACATGAGTGAGTTCACCAGGGGTTTTGCATTTCAGGGTATAAAGCATAGTGTTTAGTATCTTAACAAATCAAGAATCAATTATCTGGGAGAATAAGCAGAAGGTTTTTTATGTCTAGGATAAATTAGTTGAAATGCTAAGCCCAGTCCTTGTGGATTAAAGAAGCACTTGGAAGCAATGAAGTATATTTTTAAAATGCACCTGACATCATATGCCGAAAAGAAATTAATAGATCGTTGCATGGGCTTCACATGTTTTAGGGGAACAATGGTGGCTTTTTTTTTTTAAGGTGGATTCCAAGGTATTATCAATTTGTATGTAAATGCAGTTGATTCTGATAGAATTACAGGGGAAAACGCTGTCATCAAACATCTGGTTAAAGCTTGTTACTTAATTATCGTCTTTGAGAATTCAGGCCACTTAGTTTTATTCTCCTTTTTTTTCTTTTTTTTTTTTTTCTGAAAGATGTTGGTCAGACTTATCTTTGAAACCACAGGTGGAACAGTCACAGGGGTGGTTGTCTGGGGGAGATAGTTAAGGGGAATTACAGTAAAGGTAGTAACAATTACTACTTCCTGAGGCTCTATCAAATCTCTCCCTGTCCAGCACACACCTTTATGTAGTCCTCTATTTAACATCACTTAGGCTGAATTATGTTAAGTACCCAGGAATTGTGATTTTTATTTGTATTACTCCACCGCAGAATTTAAAACAGTAAGAAACAAGTGCATAAAACAGTCCAAAAAAAGCTGCTTCTCATGAAATTCTGTATAGCATGAACCAGTTTCAGCTGTGCCAAGAGCAGTATAACCCTACATGGTCTAGCTTTTAATGTTTTCCCCAACAGCTAATAGTGCCCCCACGACCATGACATTAAAAGGGGAGAAAAAAAACCCCAGCTTTATGGAAGAACAATTGGCATAGGATAAACTACACTTAAAGTACACAGTTTTAGAAGCTTTGTCATATGTATGTGTACCACCCACATCAAGGGAATGAGACAGCGATCTCGCCCAGAAGTTTCCTCTGACTGACCTGTTGTTACTCCTTTCACGCCCACATGTTGAATCAGGCAATTACTAATATTTTCCATCCCTAAAGATAAGTTTGCATTCTCTAAAATTTTAAATAAGTGGTTTGTACTTTATTTTTTTGGCCTGGTTTCTTTCACTCGGCTTAATTATTGTGGGATTCAGCTATGTTGTATCATATGTCAGTAGTTCATTACTTTTTATTGCTAAGCGGTACCCTGTTGAATGGGTACAGTTGGATGAGCCATAGTTTGAGTATCCATCCATTTGTTGATGGGTGTTTGGGTTGCTTATAGTTTTTGGCTGTTATAGATAACACTGCTATAAATGATTGACCAATTTCCTCCCAACTTATGACTTGTGTGTTCAGTCTGTTTTACAGCATTGATAGCAGAGCAAATTGTTTTTAATTTTGATGAAGTCTGTGTTATCAGTTTGTCCTTCAAAGAACATGCTTAGCCATCTTTGCCTGATGCAGATCACAAGGCTTTTCTCCTGTTGTTTTTCCAGAATGTTTACAGTTTTGGATTTTACATTAAGTTTATGATCCATTTTGAGTTCATTTTGTATATGGGTGAAGTGTGGATTGAAGTTCATGTTCTTGCATGTAGGTATCTAATTGTTCTGGTACCATTTGTTGAACAAATATCCTTTCTCTGCTTAATTGTTTTTATATATATATACCTTTGTTGAAAATCATTTGTCTTTATTTGTGTGTGTCTGTTTATGGGCTGTGTTCTGTCCCATTGGCCTATTTGACTTTATATAAATACCACACTATTTTGATTATTGTGGCTTTATAATAAATTTAGATATTAGGTAGTGTTTCTTCTCCATCTTGATTTTTTTTTTCCAAAATTGTCTTGGCTATTCTAGGTTCTTTAATTTTGGAATCAGTTTGTTAGTTTCTAGAAAAATAAAAACCTGTTGAAATTTTTACTGGAATTGAATTAACTTCATAGATCAGTTTGAGAAGCTGTGAAGGGCTTTCCAGTGGTTGTTACAATGCGATCCTAGTCTTAGATACAGGTTAGGGAGGATGAAGCATGAGCTGTCATAGCATGGAGAGACAGGGATGAAGTTGCCCCCCCCCCCACTCCAGATTGGCTGATGGAGAAGCTGGGTGGCCCATCTGGGGGAGCCTGAGTTGAGAAATGAATGACCATAAGTGGACAGATACTTTGTCAGAAAAATCCCCTCAGAGAAGCCCAAGGGAAATGGTTGGGTGGTTTGTTCTGGAAGCAGCTGAGGTAATGATTTCAAGCTGGAGAGGGAAGTAGGCACATTTCTTCTGGAGAGAAGAGTGCAATGGAGAGCTCAGGGTAGTCGGGAGAGGAGAAGGAAGACATGTGAACAGATGAGATTCTAGAACCTCATGTGTTCATGGAAGGCTTGTGATGCAGGGAACAGAGGGTTAGCGTCATACTTTAATGTTTTCTGCAATGACTCAGTCTAACGGAACAGTGAAGGTTACTTGTGCATTTGAACTGGTGGTTGATCTAGAACAGTGGTTCTCAACCATGGGTGATTTTGTCCACCAAGAGGACATTTAACAATGTCTAGTGACATTTTTGATTGTCACACCTTCTGAGAGCATGTGATTTCTTTTGTCATCCAGTGGGATGGTGCTAAACATTTTACCATCTTCAGGAACACTGCCCGCAACAAAGTCTTAGCTCCTCAAATGTCAAAAGTGCTCAAATTGGGGAACCCCGGTCTAGAGAGGGAGCAGAGAGGGAGAACTAGAGAAGAGGGTAGAATGAGAAGTAGAACCAATAGGTTTCCCTGGCAGCTCATATCTGTATCATCTTGAGGAGAGCTACTCTCATGTAGTGACCATGGACAGTTACCCAGGATGATCAAGAATTAGTCTGTGGAAATCCAAGCATATTTCCAGAAGCTGTCTAAAAATGTCACCAAATAAAACTAGTCTAACAAAAGCATGGCTTCACGCTGAATAAATGGAAGAAATGTTGAGCATCTGACTTCATTTTCTTAAGAAGAATTTATTTGTTTAGACGTGGCCTTGGCCATAGATGGATATCAATTGGGATACTTTGATTACAAGTCATAGAAAACCTAACTCAAAGTGGCTGAAAAAATAGAGGAACTTTACCAGATCCCATAACTAAATAGTCCAGGCCTCTGGCAGGGGTTGATCCAAGGCTCAGTGTTGACAAAGGACCCAGTTCCTTCATCCCACTTCAGCTCTCCTCCATAGCTCACACGTGGTTACCAGCAGTTTTCAGGGTTACTTTTTTCTTTTTTATTTTTTTTAAAGATTTATTTATTTATTTATTCATTCATTCATTCATTCATGAGAGACACACAGAGAGAGAGAGAGAGGCAGAGACACAGGAGGAGGGAGAAGCAGACTCCATGCCGGGAGCCCGACGTGGGACTCGATCCCGGGACTCCAGGATTGCGCCCTGCGCCAAAGGCAGGCGCTAAACCGCTGAGCCACCCAGGGATCCCAGGGTTACTTTTTTCTTACTCATTCTCATCATGAGAAGATTATTCTTCTTTTGCCATTATGCGATTTTCTTTGAGTGGGCCATTTTTTATTATGTGTCCCCTTGAGTATGGTAACAGTAAAACAGGCTTGGCCTGATGCTATCCAGAATGGTAGGTACTAGCCACATGTGGCTGTTGAGCTTTGGAAATACAGCTAGTCTAAATTGAGATATAAAGAACAGAAGAATGTGGAATAGCTAATTAATAATTTGTATGTTAAGTGTATGTTGAAACAGTAGTATTTGGGGACATACTGAGTAGCAAGCAGATATGTGATGGAAAATACCTCCACGTGTTTCTTTAAAAAAATTTTTTTTTTGATGTGATGACTAGGAAATTGAAATTGTAGAAGTGGCTCCAAATTGTGTTTCTCGTCGACGGAAGCATCTTAGCCCATGTTGGAGTCCCTGGGAGTCCAGCGCACCCAAACCACATGGCTAATAGGCACGTGGGAGAGAGTTGGAATGGTTACTGGGCAAGCAGATAAACATGAGTACTGTGGTGACTGGCATAAGCAGAGAAAGGAATATTTGTTTGTTTGCTACGTTTCCCTGAGGACAAATTTCTGGAAAGACTGCCCTGCTCCCACTAATGAGAGCTAATAATTGTTTCTTGAATATATTTGTGAAAATTAAAAGATTAATGTGGTGCCCCCAGCAACTAGTGAAACAGCACAGAAATACAGGGAGAGAGAGTAGATAACCCTTACCCTTCTCATCCCTGTTCCCACTTAGAGCCGTGGGTAGGGGCTGGCAGTTTGGCCTGTATCCCACACCTGCCTCCACATACGTACGTGCGCGTACGCTCACACATCCCATTCTCTTGCTGCCCTGGCTGCCATTTTGAGGGTGGGATTATAGCGCTCGCTCTTCAATTTGCTTTTCTCACCTTACCCATTTGCTTTTGTGACCTCCACATTAGCACCTACAAACTTATCCTGTTCCTTGAGATGATTACATATTATAGATAAGATCACATTTCATTTAACTATGGCTCCCATTGTGGGGCATTCATGCTATTTCCAGGCCCACCCCCCCACCCCCGTTCCTCTGCCACACAACAAACAATGCTGCAGTAAACATCTTTGTACCTGTGTCCTTACGTACTGGTCCTTTTTTTTTTTCTTCTATAGGATAGATTCCCAGAAGTGGAATTGCTTGGTCAAACGGTATGTGTATTTTTAATTTTAACAGATAAAGCTAAATTATTTTCCTCAAAGGAATAGCAAATGCTATTTGCACGTGAGAGTGCCCATTTCCTACATTCCCATCAGCATTAGATGTCATTGCTCCTTTTAATTCTTACCAATCTAATTACCACTGACCATTAATTTACATTTTTGTCACCACTGTTGATGTTGAGAATATTTTCATATGTTTATTATTCACATGAACTTCTCTCTTCTTCACTGCATATTCACGTCCACCCCCCATTTTCCTGCTTGGTAGTGTTTTTCTTTTATATCATCTTGGAGTTACTGTATTTTAGAAATGTTAATTCTTGGTTATATGTATACAAATGTATCTTTACCGTTCTTTGCTCTGTGTGTGATGTCTTTTGCCACATGAAAATTGTTAATTATTGTTTAATCAAATGTGTCTGTCTTTTTCTTTATTGCTTCTGAGATAATCTGTTTTGCTTAGGGTGGCACATCCATCTCAAGGTCATATAAACATTCTCTTATATTTTCTCCCAGTTTTTAAAACCTTCAAATCTTACTGCAATTTTAAGTTTTGTACATGATATGAGGTAGGATTCTGTCTTTATTAGTTTCTAGTTATTATAAGAACCTCTGTCATGGGATTGATATGTTACTCTTGTCACATAATAAAGATGCCATATATATTTGGATCTATTTCTGGACTCTCTATTCTGATCCCTATCTATTTCTGTGCCAACACCATTCTCTTTTGAATGCAATGGCTAGTGAGTGGTAATGTCTGGTAAGTTGTCCTTCACTGGTCTTTCTCATACTTTACATTGTTTTTAGCCATTTTTTTTTCATATTCTGGTTAAGATAAATTTAAACCTTAAAGTTGGGGAGTGTTATCTTAAATGTTTTGAATATAAAAGGTAATAGAACTATGTGATAAATAGAATTTAAAAATTAATAATTCTCAGGTTGGGGATCTCTTTATTTGATGTTACTAATTGGAAAATATTTATTGATAAACTGAGGCCTTATTTCTGTGACTTTTGATTCTTTATATATGATTTTACTTTATCTCTGTGATAATTGTACAGTTACCACAAAATGGAGAAATGGGGATTACGGGTGTGATATGTTGAAATCTATCCAAAAATTCGATTATTGCATTAAAGCTACAGTGACTATGACCTTATAATACTCTGTATTTCTGTTTATGTGCTAAACTATAAAGTGCACTCATGTTTGGATTGGTTGATGGGTATATAAATAATGTAAATGAAGAACTGTAGATGTGCAAAACCATGTATTTTGTGATCTCTTATGATTCCATTCTTCTAAAACTTAATCTTGACAAAAGAAATTGTCATACCTAAAATTTTGGGTAAAATTTATCTAATATTTTACATGGTTTTCATGATTCTTAACTTTATGCTAATACGATAATAACTTAATTATGTTCACTGATATTCTCAGTTGCTTTTTGGAAACTTTGCTTATAATATTAAAACACGAATTTTGTGTTTTTTGAATGGGATTTGTAAGATTATAGCTAAACACTAAAACTGGATGTGATTAAGAATGATACTAATGTTGTCTTACAGATTAGTACATATACAAATACACACAAGGTCTGTATTTTGCTTCTGAAAGCAAAAGGACATCCCCATGTAGGTTCCACCCATGTTTACTTGGTTAACTAGGAAAAAGCCTTTAGTTTTGTTAACCAAAAATGAAATGATAAAATAATTAATACATTATGATTATTATTGAATGAAATACTTGGAGAAAATACAATTAGGTTTTTTTAAAAATGAGATTCCTTGTACTTTTAATGGTGTTATTATTCAAATAAATGAATTGGTATGGCAAATTTCGGCATGTGTATGAATATTAAAGATGGTAATTTAGAAAAGAGAGAGGGAATTCATTTAAATTATTCACACCAAGATCAAAAAAAGGACTTAGTTTAGTTTGAGTTAAATTTAAACCGTCTGTGTGAACTTTGAATCTTCATTAAATCATAGCCAAGTAGAATTTTCTCTTCTGTTCTCAAGAAGGTAATGAGCAGTTAGCTCCCAGCTTCCATCTAGCCCATAGATCCAGTACCATCCTACAGAGACTCCATGTACCCCGATTCTGGTCTCTATTACTTTCCATAAAGGTCAGCGAGACTCTTTCAGGAACATAACTAGATGCCATGATAGGGTAGGGAAATTTTTGTTGGTTTCAGAATGGCTTTGTTGGTTTGTTTCTGTTTTGTGCTCAAGATCAAGGATGCTTTCAACAGTGTGCGGAGGTTGAGCTGTTAACGTCCGATGAATGAAATGGAAGGAACGTTCTCTGCAGCCCCATAGTGGAAATTTAAGTGACAGAGTACTTAGAAGCCATTGAACAAGTCGAGCCTCCCAAAAGCCAAGAGCATCAGATCATGTTCTGTCATAGGTAACACATGATATCAACTGTGCTGAATAAAAGGTGTATCGTGGTCCTGGTGTTCTCAAATAACTGTATTTCGATCAACTCAGATTCTGTTTCCTGTACTCAGGTTTTAATCAAGACCAGCATTGGCAGTTGATAAACATAAACTTTCAAATATACTCTAATGATATTTTAGTGCAATCATGTATGTGAATTCTCCATTGTCAATTTTGTTTGTTTTTTTTTCCATTGTCAATTTTGAAATGAAATTGTTCTTCGACATTTGTAGGCTATTGCAGAAACGGAAAATAACAGTAAAAATAATAGTAAATAAGGGTATGATAAGGTTAATAATAAAAGAATCCTTTAAGTCAAATATTTAAGACTTCAGTTTTCTCCAGAGCTGCCTAATTCTAGAGACGCTGGAAAATTTGTCTAAAATCGGATAGAGAACCTCTCCGTTCTTGTCAAACGAGCATCAACAGCTATCATAAGTGAACAACATAAACAACAAACATAAACAGCCATCTGTGGTCAGGGGTTGGAGTGATGATAGGTGATAAACAGTTTTTCTGTTCTTGAAGCCAGAAAAACTGCAGTTCCTACACTGTACCAACCACATGTTCAAGATCTGTGACATTGGATGGAAATCATCATCTGTGTTGATTTAAATGAGTCAACTAGGGTGATGTTGAATCTCTGCACTTTACATAAAGATACAAAGCAGGTGATGATATGCCTGTGCTAACCAAAAAATAATGGCATACCTCCCAGACATTGCAGGTATTGGGTTCAAAGCGATTTTCCTGGAGGCTAGGGGCTGTCTGTCGTTCCTGGCCGTCCTGAGATAGGAGGTAAACCAGAACCCACGTTAACTAATAGGCATTCAGAATCTAGATCAAACTGAAACAAAACAACTTTACATGATACTGTACTTTTAAATAACGAAAAAAAAAATCTTCAGCTAGCAATTACAGCTGAATCAAGGTAAATATTTTATGCAGATTTTCAGTTTAAGATTTGTAAAGGTCGCTTCCAAATGATCAAGGTGAAATGTAACTTCACTTTGTCGTAATTTAATGCCATTCTCTTATTCTTGCGAAGATGTTAACCCTCACTGAATATCATCTTCGTGTATGTGGCCTGGTCCTAAATTGCCTCAAAGTACAGTATTACCAGGCTTTCATCTTTATTTTGCTTTCATCTGCTGCTAGAATATGTTAAAGCTTCTACACATGGCAGGTGGAAGAAAATATTGATGCAACAGATCCGGTGTAAGTGTGAGACTTCCATATCGCTTTGATTTTAATCAGGTCTGTTGGCAGTAAGGTGTAGTATCATCAGAGAAGATACCTGTCTCTAGGAGTGAGATCTCACCCTGTCCCTGGACTTATTGCAGCAATTATAAATCGGCTGTGATTGTGGCATGAACATGTGCCGTTTCTGCTGTCCGGCTGTCGGGCCGCTGAGGCTGCTCCATTTATTCGGGTCAAGCCGCTGGGTCAGTAGTCAAGACCCTTCCTCTCTGTACCTTGAAGAGGAATAGCTGCTTCCTTGGGGAAACCTCATGTGAGCTAGAGATGTGCACTGCCAGCTGCCTTTAACTTCTAGGTTATGTCAAAGGGCATTTTTTTTAAATGACACGTTAAATTTGACCCCTAGTCATTAATCCTCGCAATATTTTTGTACATCGAAATGTCAAAATGTCAGTCTCCTTGAGTTTTCTGTTGTCATTTCTGTCACTATTCAAATTCTAGTGAATGAAATAGCTATTTGCACAGGGGGAAAAAAAAAGAACCACCACCATTGGTACCTTCTCCTACTATTGGATTTTTCAAAGGCCAGCTTGCAGTCTCTAGAAAGGAGAGTAGGGCTATTGAAATGGATGAATAGAAAACTTCAAAAGTGAACCTCTCAGAGCAATAGAATGTAAAGATATTTTAAATATAACTGCAGTTGAAAAAATATATATATAATTGCGATTGTATTCAGTAGTAGGAAAAAAAATCAAAGCATTTTTCCTTAATGCCATCCTGAGGTATGAAATGTGTTGTAAGAATGAGTAGAATATTCCCAGGAAGGAGGGCACCTCAGCGTTCTTCAATTTAGGATAGCACATGTCCCCAAACCTTTAATTTATCTGACCGGGTCCCCGCCAGATCTGTAAGGCCCCTTCATTTTCATCTTCTTAGACACCCAGCCATGGAGCATAAGATCACATTTGTAGGGACCCTGTGACTGACCAAATATTTTCCTTTACACGATGCTTTCAGAAGAATCCTTTTATCTTCTAGAGGGCCAGGCTCCTTGGATGTCTGAACAATGAAGCATCTTGGCAAGCTATTTCTACACCAGAACTCTTGCAGCTTAACATACTTTGAAGTAGATTGCTCCCCATTGCAGGGCCACAGTAAAAAAAAATGGGGTTTTTCATAGCCCTTGCATTGATGTTTGCAAAGCCAGATGGCTTTGTAAAATGAGCCCCAAAGCAGTATAACTGATTAAAAGAAATGCCAGGTAGTTGAACGCTTTCGTACCCAATGTGAGCCTGGCAGGAAGAATTGTTCTCTCGGGATACGTTAATATTGGGGAATCTCACT